GATCAGGTGCATTTGTGGCTTCCCATGCTGATGTGCAGTGGATTAATGTGCGTGAGGTTTATACTTAATGTGCGTGAGATTTGTACTCAATGTGCCTGAGATTTGTACTTAATGTGCGTCATGTTAATATGCGTGAGTTTTGTACTTAATGTGCCTGGGTATTGTGTTTAATGTGCGTGAGATTTGTGCTTAATATGCGTGAGTGTTTCATAATTACGAGCTCAGAAGGAAGCAGAACAGAAACTCACGCACATTAACGCCCAAGCTTCTTGTTACTTCTTCCTTCAATTTAGCCATGGATTCTGGATTATCAGCTACCTTCAGTGCAGTTGAATGTTTATATAGATGACGCATGTTTATATAGATGACGCACGCACAGTAAAATTTGCACAGCAGTTAAGTGTGAATTTCTGTTGTATTATTCCCATAATTCTTAACCACCATAGCCCGCCTCCGCATCATCATCATCAGGGAAGGGGCAATGGCTACTGGGAATGAGGAAGAAGCTGATATGAATATTTTCTGCTGCATTTTACACATTCACGCACATTAAGTTCAAATCTCAGGAACATTAAGCACAACACTCACGCACATTGAGTACAAATCTCACGCACATTAATCCACCGTGTCGCGATCCCCACCAACAACCATGGCAACGTGCGAATGAAGATCGAAAACGAGAAGGAGAGAAGGCAACGCGATTTTCGCACCTCTTTGACGCACTCCCCACGCACGACAAGAGAAGAACGGAAGAATAGGAAAAGTCTCCACCTTGCGCGTGTGTTTGAACGCCAATCTGACAAGGACTCTCCAAACAAAAATACATTAATACCCTTCTTAAAATAAAAACACCCAAAAAAGTAGATGAATGCACGCCCAAATCTGAGCCATTCAACTGCATCATCCAACACTCAAAAATAGTCCACACGTTTTTATTTTAAGAGGGGTTTTCACATGAATCAAATTCTATATATATATATATATATATATATATATATATATATATATATATATATACATACATGATGTAATCATTATGTTTACAAGAATTTTTAATATATGAATCTACATATTTTCAGTTATTTTCTCAATATCCTATCATGCTTCACTTCCAAAAGAATCAAACCAAAAAATTTGACGTGAATTCAACAAATTATATAAGAGTACAGTTAATGTTATTAGGATTCAAATAAAAAATGTATTGCAGTAATCATTTTGCAATGCTAACTTATATATTGTGTTCAACATTTTTCTTTCTGTGTGTTTGTAAATTTACAAATTCTTTTCCCAATTAAGTTGTTGATGTTAATAATAATTTCAAATTTTATAATTCCTATTAGATCAATTATTTCTGTTGTCCTTTTCATATTTTAATGTCTTTCAATTTAATAGAATCTTAAACCACTTTCGAAATTTGAAATGATGATACATTTTAATTTTTTTTTTCCCCTTATTTGGTTCAATCTATTTCCCTTGATTTATTTACTTTAATTTAACAACAAAAAAAGCGACTGACCAACTATCTCCATGTGATCACTAGATCAAATAACAGAATACTAAAGTTGTAATACAAACTTGTAATTGAACATTAAAATCGATAAGAAGTTTAATTAAAATGTAATTAATTAAAATGAGAACCTTCCCTGTCAAGAACTGAAAGAAGGGATTTGATTACAACTTTGCGGTATTACACATGAATAAGCAAATGTTATCATATGGTGGCATAGAGAGAAACTGCATGCCTTATTAATTTGTTGGGTGGATTTGAATGGCAGGTTGATGGTAGCAGACTGGCAGTTTAGTGAACTTTATTTTTGTCAAAATCAGCTCTACTGTCAACCATTCATTTTAATATCCCATCTACTTTGGAGAAGTATTTGTTTCATGAGAAATATTTGATTGATCATACTAGAACTCACTTAATAAGTTCCTAAGCAATAAATATTTTTCTCTATCTAAAGTCATTCTTACACATCTCACTTGACAGTTGACACAATAGCACCACTTTCTACCCAATGATTCTAAATAAAAATGACAACCCTACAAAAATTATATTTCCGTGATGATAAAATTGTTCTTAAAGCTTGGATTAATCTATCTTCAAAACTTTCAAGACAAGATCAATGCTTACATTAATGTAAGACTTATAGATGGTTGGAAAAAAAATTATGTAATACAATAAATAAATAAAGAGGAAAGTGAGTGAATAAAAACTAGATTATTTGCCATCTTCAAATGTATAATCACTTTTTTTTATACGTTTGTAATTTAGATGAAGACATATGAGATACAAGATGTCATGTACAAAATTCTCAGGTTTTTTTTTGTTAAGAATTTTAAAGAGAAAAGTGACGAGGCAATTTTATAAATTTTTTATTTATTACAAAACCTATGCAAATAAATTACACCTCACACAACATAAAAAAATTCACTACATATATTCATTATATTGAACTAAAATCATAACACACAACATATATTCATTCGATCGTAATAAAACTATTGTTGGAAAAAAATAGCTTAAAATGACATAAAATGGCATGTTAAGTGGCTATTTTGTGGTACAATTATCAGTGGGGTCCACTTCCGAAATGAGTCGGCTCATAGTGGATTCGGGTTCTTCATAGTGAGACAGAGAGATTGATATATTGTACACTCAAAACGGATAATGGGCGAATGAGATATTGATTCTCAAAGTAGACCCATTTGAGTTGAAAAATGAAGGGAAAAAGTGAGCTTTTGTCCCACATTGGTTTGGGAAGAGGATTTGCCTCACTATTTATACAAGAGCTCTTTTAAAACTTATTAAATTGTATAGTATAGAGGCTCTCTCTCGCGCGCGAAAATGGGGTGCAAATCAAATCCCAGAATGAGATCGAAAAGGCTTAGATCAAGCCTAATCTCTTGTGCGGGGGTCTTGCGGGCTAAGTTTCAGTATAATTTTCCAACTCAGCCACGAAATAAAACTTGGTTTCACTTATGTGTGAAGTTTCGTGTAGCATGGCCACTGTAATGCATGAAACAATGTTTCACTGTGGGCCACCACGAATGAAACAATGTAATGCATGAAATGATGTGAACCATAATGCGTTGTTTCGTGTGGCTCCCTTGGCTGAACCACGAATGAAACAATGTAATGCATGAAATGATGTGAACCATAATGCATTGTTTCGTGTGGCTCCCTTGGCTGAAGCCGAAAGTAGTGGTTTTGGCTGAAGCCGAAAGTAGTGGTTTTGGCTGATGGCTGAAACTACTAATTAGGCAGAAAGTTCGGCCTGAAGCTTTTGTTTGTGACTGTTGGGATTTAATTCAGCTGTTATGGAATTAATTTTTGAATTAATTCCAATTTTAATTTTGAATTAACACCCATGTTAATGGTTGCTGTTACAAGAGTTGTAGGGATGCCCCTAAATGCCATAATAAAGGTTATTCACTCATCAATCCCTATATAAGGAGGGGGTAGAGTGCAGCAGATTTTCTAAGCACATAGTGACAAGAACACACAACACAGGAAGTGTTTTCTCTCCTCAAAACTCTGCTTCTACTCCTTTCTTAAGCCGAACTGTGTTCAAGGCTTTGCTCTAGTTCGCCGGGTTCGTTCGTTTGGGTGCTCGAACGTCGAACCGTAGCGCGTTTTATCCTGGGAAACCTAGGCCACGGCGCTCCTAGCACTTTTGGGAGGTGACAAATAAGGTTTTAAGGAAAGAGTGGTCTCTTGACTCACGCTAAAAACCCTTACCCAAACACGAGCCAATCTTTCCTTCTTTCGGTTTTGGATTATGCTTCTAAGCAAAAATCCTCCTTTTATGTTATAGTTTGGTTGGAATTATAATCTGTGTATTATAAATTCCATTTGGTTGATATGTATATATCTTTTTCTGTAGATATTCATGCATATAACCTTGGTGGTCTGATCTATATATATATTTGTGTGTATATATATATATATATATATATATATATATATATATATATATATATATATATATATATATATCGGATATATATATCGAATAATATTTTATATACTTCGTGTGTGTATATCTAAATATTATTTTACGATATTAAATCGATTGTGGTTCATTATCACCAACAACTATTATAAATAATAAATAAGTCTACTGCAAAATCTAAAAAAGTGTAATTGAAAAAATTGTAAGTCTTCTTCATGGCAAACTTTAAGTGTAGTACATACATAAATCTATTTCATAAAAATCCATAAGGCTTGTGGTTCTATTACCAAGAAAAAAGGAGGATTTTGAGTTCTTAATAACGACATTTTAATGTCATTTAAACATATTTATTGATGGAGAACAAAAAATAGTTATGCCACAATAATGTTAGGACCAATATGGATGTTTAAAGAAAAAGACTAAAAGTGGAATGACTCATATAAATCTAGGACCAAAAAAAGAAAAAGACTTAACACTTAGAACTAAATACATCAAAATATTATTTTATTTAATGCCATTAATTTAAACGGTTTTGTTAACACAGAACTAACAATGATCATGTCACAATAAAACTAGAACGACCAAACAGAGATGTTTTGAAAAAAAAAAAGATTAAAAATGGATTACATACCTATAAATTTTGAACTAAAAATAAAATTTAACTCTTTTTTATATATTAACTTATTATTATTATCACTATTAAAATAATTAATATTTTATTACATATAAGTTTATAACATTTATTTTTTAATTTTCAGGAAAAATGAATTAAAAAAAAAAGTAATTTTTTTTGAAAGGAAAAACAAAATAAAATTAAAAATGTAATTTCATAATTTTCGATCAAATAAAAAAAACTATGTTTTGACATTAAAACAAATATTAGAAAATAAAAATATTTTAAAAATAAAAATTGTCATTTTCCAGACAATATTTTAACGTTCAACCAAACTATTAGCTAGCTCTGTCTGTACCTACTAATGTGAACACCTTCAGTCCTCCTATAAATACACATGATTTCTTCGGTTCTGTTCATCCATCAACTATCAATCTTACATAGTAAAGAGTTTAAAAAAATGGGTTCAAAAGTTGTTGTCCTCGGCCTATCTTTGGCCGTGTTTCTCATGATAGCTTCTGAGGTTATGGCGAAGGAATTGACCAAGACTACTGCTGATACAGCGACGAAAGCTGGGAAAGATAATGGGGTTGTCAGAGATGACAAGAACTATAGTGGAGGAAGATATGGCCGCAGAGGACTGGGGGGTAGCGCATATGGCGACGGAGGAGATGAAGGTGGCAAAAATGGCCACAAAGGAGATGTTGGTGACAAAAATGACCAGGGAAGACGTGAAGATGGAAAAAACGACCACAAAGATCATGATGGTGACAAAAATGACCATAGAAGACGTGAAGATGGCAAAAACGATCACAAAGGCCGTGATGGTCACAAAGATGACCAAGGAAAATGTGATGATGGCAAAAATGGTCACAGGGGACATGATGACGACAAAAATGACCATGGAAGACATGAAGATGGCAAAAATAACCACAAAGGCCGTGATGGTCACAAAGATGACCAAGGAAGATGTGAAGATGGCAAAAATGGCCACAAAGGCTATGATGGTGACAAAAATGACCATGAAAGACGTGAAGATGACAAAAACGACCACAAAGGCCGTGATGGACACAAAGATGACCAAGGAAGATGTGAAGATGGCAAAAATGGCCACAGAGGCCATGATGGTGACAAAAATGACGACCATGGAAGACGTGAAGATGACAAAAACAACCACAAAGAGCGTGATGGACACAAAGATGACCAAGGAAGATGTGAAGATGGCAAAAATGGCCACAGAGGCCATGATGGTGACAAAAATGACCATGGAAGACGTGAAGATGACAAAAACGACCACAAAGGCCGTGATGGACACAAAGATGACCAAGGAAGATGTGATGATGGCAAAAATAGCCACAAAGGCCATGATGGTGACAAAAATGACCATGGAAGACGTGAAGATGACAAAAATGGCCACAAAGATCGTGATGATGATAGAAATGACTATGGAAGACATGAAAATGACAAAAATGACCACAAAGGTCGTGATGGTGACAAACATGACCACGGAAAACAGGGAAGTGGACGTGACAATGGTGGGTATGGCAACGTTGGAAGCGGCGATGGCAGCTATAGGCTGGGTGGAGATTGCAAGAACGGCTGCTCATACAAGGGGGAGAGCGTGGATGCAACAAAGCCTTAAGCCTCACCACTATATACCGACTCCGTATAAGCATATGAATATAGCGAATTGGCAATCTGTAATAATGCATGCAGACATGCAGTCATGAAGTACCACTTACACTTACTTCTCTGCAATATCTTTATCATAAATAAATGAATTGGTTGCCATACAATATAATTGTTTCTGATATGTTTCTTTGTTTATTGTGATATTGTGAAATAACAACCGTCTATTATTTTGTTTTATTCCTAAATAAATTTTTACACAACATATATACAAAGTTACAAACCATGTGCATGCAATATCGCAATATCACAATTCACAACATATATATATTTATTGAGTTAATACCCAAAATCGTCCTCGACTATAGTGGTTTTTCTCAATTTCGTCCTAAGCGACTTTGGTGACCTAGTATCGTCCCAAACTTTTGTGTTTCGCTCAATTTAGTCATCCATTTGTTATTCCGTCAAATTGGTGTTAAATAAAGGGACAATTCAATAATGTCAATATTGATCTCTCTTTACTTTCAACTTGTGAAGTGCGAAATTCATCTTTCTTGTACGAATTACACCCAAAATTACTCCCGAACCTGCAAATCAAATTTTATATTCGCAGTTTTAGGAGTAATTCTGGGGGTAATTCGTAAAAAAAAAAAGGATTTCGCAGTTCACATGTCTATGAGTAAAGAGATGTCAATATTAAAATTACTGAATTGTCTATTTATTTAACACCAAATGGACAGAATAACAAATGAGGGACTAAATTGAGCAAAAATGCAAAAGTCTGGGACTAAATTGAGCGAAACACAAAAGTCTGGGACGATATTAGGTCACTAAAGTCGTTTATGACGAAATTGAGAAAAACCACTATAGTCGAGGACGATTTTGGTATTAACTCTATATTTATTTAATTAAAATCACAAAACTCAACATACATTTTAATTACAATCACAACATATATACAGTTTACATAGTTTAATTCAACAAATTAAATTAAAAATCACAATTGTCTTTAAACTATAATCACAATGAAAAATGGATTCAATAGTTATAGTCTCACGCTAAGTAATAACATAAAGGCCCCGTTTGGAAACATAGTTAGCTAATTAGTCAATTTTAACTTATTTGACAACTATTAGCTGTTTGACTTGATTAAACCGTAAGTGTTTGATTAATTAGCTATTTGTAACGACTTATTGTCCCAAAATGCTAAAATTCAAAAAGCTTCTCAAAGAGTCAAAGTAGCTTTTTTTTTCGATATGTTTTTTGAGAAAGCCATTTTGCATGTAATCAGCTATATATCAGCTAACAACTAATTTACTAAATATCTTTTTACAATCAACTAATGCTATCAACTAGTCAAAGCTACTATCCAATCAGCTTACAGAGTAACTGTCATTTACCAAACATCCCTAAATTCTAAATAATATTAAGAGTTAATACCACAAATGATCATATGACTATTGAGCTACTACTCTTTTTATTAATCCTCAACATTTAATTCTACTTAAACTCATATCTTGTTGACTTTTATTTGTTACGATGAGAGAACGGAATTCAAAATCACATTTAGTTTGAGAAGATTACAATGATAGAGTCCTAAAGGAAAGCTAACACAAAACTCTCCTAAACTCTAGACTAGAAATAGCTGACCTATTCTATAGCCACATACATATAAACTATACAATATAATCTATTTACATTATTATTGCTAACACACCCCCTCAAGCACAAGGGTGTAAAGAAACAACATTGAGCTTGTCTCAGAGAGCCTGAAAACGCGGTGCTTGTAGTGGTTTGGTGAAGACGTCAGCCAACTGATCTTTGGTAGAAACAAAGTTAACAATGAAGTTCCTGGACACGACCTTGTCTCGGACGAAGTGGTAGTCGGTCTCAACATGTTTTGTGCGTGCGTGGAATACCAGATTAGCAGCTAGATACATGGCCCCAAGATTGTCACACCACAGAGATGCCGGTTTACAAGAATGTAGCCCAAGTTCCTGAAGTAACGAGACAACCAAGGTTACCTCCGCCGAGACATCAACGAGCCCTTTGTATTCAACCTCTGTTGAGGATCTAGCCACTGTGCGTTGCTTGCGGGATATCCATGATACAAGATTACCACCGAGGAAAACTGCGTAGCCACGGGTGGACTTCCTGTCAATCGGACAACCGGCCTAGTCGGAATCAGAGAAGGCATGGAGGTCGGAGGACGCCGATGCCGATAACTGTAATCCGTAGTCGTCCGTCCCTTTGATATACCGGAGGACCCGCTTTAGCAACCCCTAGTGATCATCGGTTGGAGAGTGCATAAACTGACACAACCTGTTTACTGAATAGGATAGATCTGGCCGAGTGATAGTCAGGTACTAGAAAGCCCCTACAATTCGGCGGTACTGTGTGGGATTATCAAATGGTTCTAGGGACGGTGTAGCCGTCCGTGTCACCGCAGCTGGCGTCGCTAAGGGTTTGCAATCGGACATGCCAGATCGGGCCAAGATATCCTTTATATACTGAAGTTGAGAAAGGATAAGCCCCTCCCTGACCGGTAATGTCTCGATACCCAGAAAGAAACTTGGAGTCCCGAGATCTCGGATCTTGAACGTCGTGGAGAGACGGTGTAGCAAGGTGTCAACCAGAGACAGATCATTTCCCATCATGATGATGTTGTCGACGTATACAAGCAAGTAAACCCTAGAGTCCCCAGCCGTGTAGTAGAAAAGTGAGACATCGGTCTTGGATGCCAGAAAACCGGCAGAAAGTAAGAAGTCGTGCAATCTTTTGAACTAGGCCCGAGGTGCCTGTTTTAGCACATAGAGAGATCGTTGAAGGTGACAGACATGGTCCGGGTGTGTGGGATCCTCGTAACCAGGTTGCTATTTCATATAGACTGTTTCAGAGAGATGGCCATTAAGGAATGCATTGTGAACATCCAGTTGGCGTAGCGTCCACTTGTTGGAGACTGCAAGAGAAAATAAAATACGTACCGTAGTAGGTTTGACTGTGGGACTAAATGTGTCAAAGAAATCCTCACCCGCAACTTGGTTGAAACCTTTAGCGACCAGGCGTGCCTTATAGCGCTCAATTGAGCCATCGGCTTTACGTTTGGTGCGGTATACCCACTTGCAGCCGATAACATTCATATGTGGCGTAGCCGGTATTAGCCACAGTGGCGGGATGTGAGAACACATCATGTGCATCCATCTAATATTTTTTAATGGTCTAGATTAGATTAAGTGTGTGCGAACGCGCATTAAATGTGTGCAAACACACTAAATCGCGTTTGCACACATTTAATGCGCGTTCACACATACTTAATCTAATCTAGACCATTAAAAAATATTAGATGGATGCACATGATGTGTTCTCACGAAATTAATATGTCTGTTACAAACGTTACAAAATAATGGCCACCATTAATATTTACAACAAAAACATAATTAAATTTGCGGTAATAAGATATGAATCAAATTGGTTTATCTGTCAAAAATAAATATGGGGGATTGGCGTCACAGAATCATCACCACCCTTGCCAAGGACGACTTCATACGCATAATGTTCCTCATTGTTGGATCAAGAACAAAGACTTCTCCAAAATATGGGTGGAAACTGATTGCATGTCTGTTGTTTAAGGCATTTCTACTAGGTCACTCGACTATTCTTAATTAAGCAGGAGCTATTTTTGAAGACTGCATGTCATAGGCTATTAACCTCACTATTTGATGTACATTTAATAACTTGTATCAACCGCTCAGCTAACCAAGTGGCCACACGTTAACATGGGTCACTGGCTCTCAAGCTGACTATCAACATTGGGCTGGAAATCCTCCACCCTCTTCGTATTCACAAATTCTTTGAGAATTAATAATAGAAGTCACATTTTGCTTTGAAAAAAAAAAATCTCAACAAAATATCGGATGTTGTAGTTTGACCTGTCAACTAGCTCAGTTCTCACGTGAAGTTTACACGGTAACTCGCCCGGAGGTTCATATATATGTATGAGTGTATACGTAAAGAAGAGAAAAAGGAGGAGAAGAAGAAGAACACCAAATGTAGGGCACAACAATATGTGTGTCATTTCATTAGCCTTCACTCCATTATATAAGGTTTCATACAACCTTTCACATACTCAACATCAATACATGATTAAAGGTTAAGCTATTGAAAGGTCTAATGGTTTAATGGCCACTAATAAAATATTTATAACACTCCCCCTTGGCCATTAAATAACTATACTCATGCCTCGTTAAAAACCTCGCTAGAAAAACCCAGTGGGAAAAACCTAGACGAGGAAAAGAGTACACGAAGTATGTCAAACCACTGTGTTGCACTGGTTGCCTCATTAAAAACCTTAGCCTAAGAAAACCCAGTGGGAAAAAGCTTAGCTAAGGAAAAGAGTACAACCATATGTTTTCGGAGCATAATTTTCAGTATTTCAAAAGCCTTCTAGATTATCCATTCCAGTGCAGTTAGGGGTTGTCGCTCCCCCTGAAGATAACAATCTTCTAAGCCCACGCATCCCAATTTTATGAACATATTACTCAAAAATGGATGTAGGAAGAAATTTAGTGAGCATATCTACCAGATTGTTCACTGGGACAAACTTTCTCAACAAGAATTTTACCACTCTTCTGGAGTTCATGTGTGTAGAAAGACTTATGTGCAATATGTTTTGTAAGGTTCCCCTTAAGAAACCTATTACTTGAATTACTCGTGCAACACAATCTTATTTGTCCTCATATGGGACATTGGGAGGGTAAACCATAGCATAACCAGTTTGGGACTTGGCATCATATGGATCAAATAAAAGAGCCAGCACCCAAATAGCCATCAAAACCACATATTGTTTGCTCACATAAACGTCAAAATCTTTATACCTCGAAAATGCTGGAAGATATGTTAAACACAATTCCAATATTTCATTGTAGAGGGAGCACTAAACTTTGCTAGCAATTTCATCGCAAATTCAATATCAGGCCTGATGCAATTATGGAACTTCTAGTTCAATAATAGTGCTCCAATAGGAATGAAGTAATGGACTTCCAGTCCCTAAATATCCTCATTATCATCTTCGAGTCTAAATGATC